GACTAGAGAAGGAGTTGACACTAAGTTGGAATTTTGGAGAAAGGCACTTGAATGTAAAGATTTAGAATAAGCAAAAGTAGACAGAGTATATGGAGTGTAATTTTAGTAACAGTCACAATGAAAACATAAGAGAAATGAAGATTGAGAATCAAGAACTACCTAAGAGTGAAAATTTTCGTATTTAGGATCGATTATCACAATGACTAGAGAAATTGGAGAAATGTGTCCACAAATTAAGACGGGGTGGCTTAAGTGAGAGCATGCCTCTGGAGTACTGTGCGTTAAACGAGTACCCATTGGACTAAAAAATAAGTTCTATAAAATAGTATTAAACCAACGATATTGTATGAGACGGAATATTGAACTAAGAAACAACATGTAGATAAGATGAGTGTTGCTGAGATGATAATGCTAAGGTGATGTGTAACAAGATTAGAAAGGCAATGATAGGTATGAGTATATTCGAGTGGATAGGTAGTACCTATAGAAGATAGTTGAGAGAGAATAAATTGAGATAGTTTGGTTCATATACAACAGAGACCAACCGAGGCAATAGGGAAGAGATACGATCAGTGACGGTAGATGGTAGTGTTAGGAGAAATGGTAGATTTAGATTGACGTGGACTAGGATAGTAAATGGAGATATGAATCTTTTTAATTTGACTAATGAAAAGCCATGGATAAAGTGGCCTGGAGAAGAAGGATTCATGCAGCCGACTCCATTTGATGGGACTTAAGGCTTGGTTTAGATTCCATCTGACCATGATAAGAGAACCCTAAGTTCTCTATGATTTGGAAATTTGTAGGGATGTCCATCATTTGTTTATTTTTAAAAATAACACTATATATTTATTTTAGTACCCTTATATTTGTAGAAAATTGTGTTTATGCTTCATTGTACTCACATACGTACTTGGTTTATACCTGTACGGGAAAAAATAAACCTTCTCGGATAATCCTGTTAATCAAGTTTGCAATCCTCCAAACAATGTTGTTGCCACCTGAAAACACAAATGTGAGCTAACCGGCGGGTGTGTGCCGGAAACCCCTCCATGCCTAAGTCAGCAATAGACAATAGACAATATGCTCTGTGTATTCTGGAGTAAGAATTGGGATACCTGTCCATAGGTCTGGTCATGAGCTTTTATAGACTTTGCTTTGGCACAATCCTAGTAGGATTCCAACTCTCCTTTGAGAGTCCTCCTAGGAATCAACACCCTACTCACTACCAACCAAGTGAGATGGTTTTGCACAATCCTAGTAGGACTCTACTCTCCTTAATAGAGTCCTCCTAGGAGTCACACTTCTCTCACTACCAACCAAGTGAGATGGTTTATACAACCCAGTAGGACTCTAACTCTCCTTAACAGAGTCCTACTAGGAGTCTCATCACTGCAAGCCAAGTGAGATGGCTGAACCTTTTACTCGGTTATACATTCCTGCCCGAACTGATTTATCTCGGTCCCCTGCCCTTCGGACCGTGTGATCGAAAGCCGATCTAACGGATGCCACCCTACCGAGCTATACACAGCTCGCCCTCGCCATTGATGCTACTCCTTTTAATAAGCTGCTGCAACCACACCGAGCTAAGTTACCTCGGTCAGACGCTTAAGTAATGATGTAGATGGCGCCCGGCCGAGTTATACCAAGACCGGCGGCCGAGCTATACCAAGCCCGACATCCTTTCTCACCAATACCTCGGCTAACCACCAGGCCCACTTATTTCGGCTGACATCTTTACCTCGGCTAACATTGCGGTCAGCCAAGTTACTTCGGCTCTGTGATACTTTAAGCACTACTATTAGTCTTGACTTCGAGATGACGCCTTGTAGAGCTATTGTTTAGCTCGTCCTCTTTCTACCGATACTCGGTCCATAGTTCGGCCCAAACCCAAAATATGAGATGTCTTCTGCCTAAGACCGAGCTACACCAGCCCTTATTCGGCCCATTACACGGTCCAACTCCTAAAGAAGACTCTTCCTAGCTCGGCCAATTTGTTTACAAATTACCCTCTCAATACCCAAGACATACCAAGTTGTTACCCCCCCCCCCCCCACCCCCTGCCTCCCCTCCAAAAAAAATTGAATATATATTGACGTACTTGGTGCGTATGTAGCGTACCCATAGCAAATACGTATCAGGTACAAGTACAACATCATTTTTGGAGTGCACATACTTCATCATTTATTATCCTCCAACACGTGTAACCTAAGAAGCACGGACACGGATACAAATGCGAACGCAAACACAAACACGGATGTGGACATGGGACACAACGATTTCAAAAAAATGGGGATACGGACACGGCGGAAACACAACAATAAAATATTTTTTTCATATATTTTTATTTGCTAACTAGATTAATATTGCATCCACAAACAATCAATATTAACAAAAACTAACTCTAATTCTATTTTTTTTTATCTTAAAAAATACTCTTAAATTAACACTTGCAGTTTATATCTTGTTTTATGGATGATCTATTAATTAATTAAATATAAGAAAAAAATAATAAACATTCAATATTCAACATTCATCAAATGTACTAAATAAAATGGAAAAAAAGATAACTTGACATGTCCCTAGTGTGTTCCCAAAGTATCCCGGCGTGTCCTTGAAAATAAAATAATTAAATAAGGGGACATGTCATGTGCTGTGTCCCATACGTGTTCCCGAAGTGTCTGTGTGTCCGACACGGATACGTCGCTTGTTTTGAAGTGCCGGTGCTTCATAGCGTGTAACCCTTTAGACTTGAAGCCCCCTAACATGACTCCCAAAAGATCAGACAACCCATTCATATTTTGATTCATCCACTCTGTCCATTCCTTATAATTAGCCTAAAAAAATATTTCCTATTGTCCCCCCTAACTACACTCGGGGGTAAAACGACTAACAGGGTACAACTAATAGTCTCTAAGCCCTTGTCATTCGAACACCACCACCCCCAAATCTTTCCCAACCCTGGTTACTGACAATGGTGACCAATATCCATCAAATATAAATTTGTCACAAAACACTTCAAACTTTGATCAGCCTTTGTCACCCACAACCATTACTAAATAACATGTTGCGTTAGCTTTTTTAGAGCTCAAACCTCCACCAAATGTTGTTGTTTACCTCTTGTGCCTCTTAGCTCCGTTTGTTGTTCTACCCATTCCTTTCAATCTACCAGACACGTTGCCCTTTTTATCTTAGGGAACTACCCCATCCATAACCTCATAGTCAATGTAACAACCTCACTTCACTTCTCCCTATGTCTTCCTTCTTGACTTCGGCAAGAGCTGACCATCTGTTTCTTTGCAAGCTTACTAACTCCCCAACGTCCCAAATACCCTTGTTCTGATCAAGGTCTACTACCAAAGAGCACTCCCCTTTGCACTGTCCTAGTCTCAACATAAGAAAGGGCAGTCCAGTGTACAAGGCTCTTGCTAAACCAGTTCTACGAAGGGCTAGATGTACACATCCTCACTCCCAGACTACATATCACCCTGCCATCCAAGCCTTCTCTATGTTCTCCATCCATCTCTATCAACCCAAGGCCTTCTATAAGGCCCAGTCCAAGGCCCCACTTTACAAGAGCCAGATCCAACTCAAACCAGCCTATGGGAAAACAACCCTGCTCTAGAATGTCAACCATTAGAGTTGTTAGTGCCAAAACCAAAACTTTTGTCTCCCATAAACTCATGTGCTTCATGTACGTGCAAAAACAACACCTTCCTTTTTCCCTCCTTCTCATTGCTAGCTCCTACGATGCCACTGCCTAACTATGCTTCACAACCGACTCACCACTAGCTCCATTGTTGCTGATGACCAAAGCACAAACCAGAGTCTCCAATCCAGCCATTTCAATACCTATCCCACTTCTACCATCCTTGCACCCTCAGTTTGTCTAAAAAACACTCTCCCCATCTCTTCTGTCCCTAGTAGTCACACCGATCTTCTAACCGTGCTTTCCTAGCTGTGAAAGATCAAACAATCTAACCATTCGAAAACCAAGGGACTGGCATGACACATCCGAATGCTTCAGACGATCCACCATACACTTACCCAAAAACTCAATAGATTCTGTCATCAGGAGGGGAGGCTCCCCCCCTCAACCCTTTCACCTTGAATCTCGCATCAACTGCTCATAGGTGTCTTTTGAGGTCCCCCTAAGCAGAAATCAACTGAAAACACATCTCCAAATGGGACATGACTCTCCAGCCACTACCTACCCCAAAAATCCAGCAACACCGATGCTGCTCCTATCCACCCATCACCAAAATCAAACTTTGGTCTGGATATCCTCTCCTTCCTGTAAAGATATTGAGTCCTTACCTTGACAAACCTTCTCTCCTCTCTTATGAAGACCACGACATTCCAGTAATCTTGTACCACCCCTCAAGCTTCCCGTGGAACCCTGCCTCTGAAACCTTAGAGACGCTGCCTTTAGTTTGTTACCTAACCAAGCCCACCTCAAATCCCCACAAAGTTGGGACCCTTGTATACCTCTCCATCGTTCCACCACCACCACCTTATTCTCGCCGGAGCCATCACTAAAAGGATCAAAGGACTTTTGACATAGCTGAACCAGTCTCTTCATACCCACCTCGTCATCTTCCCTTCAAAAAAAAAAAATAAAGACGTTTGAAGAGTCCTGTAAAAACTTCTGAATTTTGTATTCTTTGCATATATATGATTATTCAGGGTATTCATAGTCCTGGTAGAAAATGTTCAACAAGGAGAAAGGAACTAAACATGTAAAAGTTAAGAACCAATAAACAGATATACAACTGGGCAATACATTTCTAAGCTTTTATGTCTAAACTAAAGCACAAAATTACATATTTGAATAAGAGTTTTTCCATGGCGAATTTATTGGAAGAAAAATATTTCAACCTGAATGATATTAGGTTGAATCATTGTCCATGCAGGAAAATGGAATTTGATGCAGACTCAGTAACTAATCTGTTTGTTGCGTTTCTATCTGGTGTTTCTCAATCCTGTTTATTTCTATGCAGGGGAAGTTTATATAAGCTACTGCATCGTTCTAATAATCAACTCGATGAAAAAAAGAGAATGCGAATGGCTGTGGATGTGGTATGAGTTGGAGAATTTGTTTGCTCTTTTATATGTGTTGGTTGGTTCAGTTGCTTTTTAGTTAGTTTACAGATTGTTTAATTGCTTTCAGGCAAAGGGAATGAATTATTTGCACACGAGCCATCCTACTATTGTGCATCGAGATCTGAAGACTCCAAACCTTCTTGTTGATAAAAACTGGCTTGTTAAGGTTTGCTGAAATTGAAACATGGCATTTTAATTCTTCTGTTGCTTCCCTTCTCTGGTTATCCAATTTGTCGCTGTAGTTAGGTTTACATAGACCGGTAGTTTGGTCATGTACGATGAAGATCAGGAGTTTGGTCATGTAAAACTAAAAGATCAGAAAAGGCAGCAGTGAGGAAATGCAATAGAATGACAGTTGATGGAAACGCTAGGGAGAGGGGAAGACCTACATTGACAGGGGATATACTGTAATTAAGAAATATATGAATTTCCTTAATTTTACTGAGCATATGACCCTTGATAGAGCATAATGGAGAAAAGGATTCATGTAGGCGAGCTCAATTGATTGGGACACAAGGGTTGTGGCTTGGTTTAGTTAGTTATATTTACATAGGAAATGCATGGTCAAGCATACTGTCACTTTTTCTAAGATCTGCTGTTTTTCATGCTTGTGGATGACCTTTGAAACTTCTGCAATGTATTGGTGTCTCTACAGGTTTGCGATTTTGGCCTATCACGTGTAAAGCACCATACTTTTCTATCTTCGAATTCTACTGCTGGAACGGTAATGGATTTAAAATAGTGAAGCATTCTATTCGATCCTATGTTGTGATATCTTTTTTTATTTACCCCGCTCCACTGAAAAAAAGAAAGAAAGAAAAGGAAAAGAGAGCTTCGAATGGAATATGAAATATTGCAACTATTGTACTTAAGTTATGTCATTGAACTGCAGCCTGAATGGATGGCACCTGAAGTTCTGAGGAATGAACCATCCAATGAGAAGTAACTGAATTTTTTGTATTTGAATTCAAAACCTTTCTAGAGCGTTTTACCTTTTTTTAAAACGTTCATTCAAGTCTTGCTGATAAATAATGTGGGCTGGTTTGCAGGTCTGATGTGTACAGCTTCGGCGTGATATTGTGGGAGTTGGCAACTTTACAAGTGCCATGGACTGGGATGAACTCAATGCAAGTTGTTGGAGCTGTTGGGTTTCAAGGAAGACACCTTGACATCACAGAGGAGATAGATCCAACAGCTGCTCAGATAATAATTGACTGCTGGCATCCGTAAGTTTTCAACCTTTTAATTGTCTGTTTGGTATCCTTGAGTTTTCAACCTTGTAATTATTTGATATGTTCCTTATCAAGGATGGATTCTTGCTTAGAGGTTGCGAATATATACACTAACAAAAATTTGAAAAGAAACAACATTTATTTCTATTGGAATAAAAAAAAAAAGTGAAAAATAACATCAGAACGTACATAAATAAACGTTTTTCTTCTATTCACGTTGGGTTAACTTATAAAATGCATGTTTTCTTATATTAAAGGTATTTATGTATAATGATGGGTTATTATTTTCTTACTGTATCTATACACGCTGTTTAATTGAGAAATTTAAATGATTGTTGCCCTATTGGACCTAATCACCTAAAGAATACCAAAATATGATTATTCTTTTTCTTTCTTCAAGAAAACGTATAATAAGTAAGATGTATAAATTATAATGCATCATAGTATAGATTTAGAGACAAAAAACAAGATGGTGAACATTACAGAAAAATGTATGTAATTATGAGTTAATATGAAATCCTTGAATTTTATATAATTGAGACCTTAACAATAGTCTTATCCATCTTAATGACTTGCAATTTTGTCTCTTCTGCAGCAATCCACAATTACGGCCCTCTTTTGGTCAGCTCATAACCCGTCTCAGGTGTCTCCCGTGTCTTCGGCGTCCAGCTATTCAGAATACTCGTACTCATTCAATTGAAGCTATAAAAGAAGAGTGTTGTATCGATAGCTGAATGCTGCAACTTTGTAGATGCAAAAGAACCATAAGAGAATATCGGATTGGGAAGTGTTGGTTCGTTCAAAGGGGAGGGGGTCAGCACAGCCGGTTCGGTTCAGAACAGAGTTTTGGGGAGGGGGGGGGGGGGGGGGGGGATACCATTTGGTGGTAGGAGGTATAATCTATTATTATGTAACTAGTTAGAAAGAAATTAAAAGAAAATGAAAAGAAAGGAAAAACAAAAGTGTTTTGTGTTGTGTGTAGTAGTTTCAAGTTGTACATTAGTATATATTATGTAAGAGAGTCCCTACCCTACCCCAACAAAAAGCGAAATCTGGAGTGGAGTCTGTCTGGGGAGGTCTCATTGAGAGGAAGCATTTTGAGCTTCTTAATTGTAAACATCTGATCTTTGCTTAGCTGTTTTGTGCAAAATAGACCAAACAAAAATTGATAAAAAAAAGAAAAGAAAAGAAAAAAAAAGACGTGTTTTGAGCTCTGGTTAAAGAATGCTCTAGTTTGGCAACTGCCTTTAAGTGGCTTTTTAGGTTTTTTAGTTTAAAAGTGCATTAAAACCTCTTCTTTTTTTTTTTTCCTTTTTCTTCCTTAAATTGATGTTTCTATGACAAATTTGCACAAAAAGAAAAACATAGTGGACAATTCTTTTTTTTTTTTGGGTCAAAAACAATGTCGTTTCTAAAATAGGCATCATGGTTGCCACATGGTTTGGCAACTATTTTCGAGGCGATTTCATTTTGTCTTTTACATTTTCTAGATAACATTTTTAAATTTTTTTAAAAGAAATTTTAGTTCAGGTTAAATTAAAAAAAAAATAATTATAAATAAGTGATAAATTTTATAAATATTAATTATTTCAATCATAATTTTGACCGTGAAACTGTAATAACTTTTTAGAAGTGCCATTGCGTGGTAATTTTCTCTTTTTTTTATTTTTTTATTTTTTTTTATGGCTTTTATTCATAAAGTAAAAAATTTTGATGTTAACTAAAATTAAAAAACTATTTGATATTTACCACAAAGTTTTAATATGTATAAAAAGAATATCTTTTTTTAACAATTACTATATGTATTAATTTTTTAAAATTTTAAAAATTAGTAAAAGAAAACTGCATAGAGATTTACAATTTGAATTCGCAAATTCACAAAAGAGATTTGGACAATTTTATTACTCCAATGTTAAAGACTCACCTAGCGTTCATTTGGCATGCTAAATTTTTTAATTTTTTGATTATTTTAGACACAAAAAGATCAAGTAAATTTTTTAACTCAATAAAATAAAATATCACATCAATCAAAATCATTTCATTTTTCTCTTATAAAAGTCAAAAAAATCAAAAAATCTATTTCAAACGAGGCTTTTTAATAGGCTAAAATAGTCAAAAGACTAAAAAGTCAACTCACATCCCTAACGAACCCTTATAATGATGATGCAACAGGAGAAAGAGCCTTTATACATGTTGGGTATAAAAATGTTAGAGATTTCAAAAGTTCTAATAAATGTCTCACATGGGTATGGGTCCGGCCTTAGGTCTTATTATGAGTGGGCTTGAACTTGGGCTTAGGGCTGGGCCTCACTTTTGATCCATGAGCTGGCCTGACATGGCCTGCTAAAAAAAAACGAGAACCCACGAGGCCTGCTTGGGCCTGCCTGAGCCCGGGCTCAGACGGGCCTGGCCATTATTACATCACATGATGTGAGACGTTTAATGGAAACCTTGGTAGAATTTTTGGGGTTAAATAATGTTATATGCATCAATTAATATATTAATTAGTGTACTAACAGATAATGTGACATAATTTTAACGGTTTTGAGTATTTATAATTTGTATAGTAGACAGGGTCAATAATAATGCCATAAGGTATGTTAATATACTAATTAACGTATTAATTGATACATATAATACCACCATTGGAAGTTTATAGCATTCCTCTATTGGGTAGGTAAGGAATTAAATATTAACATTTATTGTAGCATATCAAATTGAAAAAAAAAATATAGATGTGAAATATTTTTCATTAATATATTAGTCCACCATATGCAATGAATGTTATTGTATAAATACATATATACGCAAAAATACTAGGAAGTACATATAGTATGTAGGTAGAGGAGAAGTTATTAGTTAGTGTTAAGGTATATTCACGCGTGCCTCAAGGCTGTTTTGATTGGTCAAAAAGGTAATGCTTATGATTTTATACTTAGATGATTAAAAAATAACAAAAATATGATATATTATAGTTGGTGGGGTGTATCATCACGTGACATTTGTTTAGTTTAATTTGAAGAGTTAAAAAAAAAATAGAGAAAGAGGTTAAATTTTTTTTTAATTTGTTTGATTGTATATTTTAAAAATAATTTTAAAATATAAGAATTTGAGATAATTTAATTTTTTATTACGATTGAATAGATATATGTAAAAAAAATAATTAATTAATATATAAAAGATAAAAAAACGATTTTAGAAATTTTTTTTCAAAATCACTAAATTAAAAAATTTTCTTCAATCAAAATCAAACCCATCCAGGCTTAAGCCATAAGTTTTCGTATATAGAGATGGGGTCCACCATTTAAGTAGATTCATAGGGACAGGCTCAGGTTCATGCACCTTGCCATCTCTCTGCCTTTCCCTTGCCATTTTCAAAACAAATGAAATGAAATGAAATAAAATAAAATAAAATCTCTCTCTCTCTCTCTCTCTCAAAATAAAAAATAAAAGAGAGAAAACCGTGAAAATGAAGTCTTGTTGTCCCAATAAATCAGACAATTTTGCTATTTATATACATCTTCGTCATTCGTCTTCTTCACATGTCTGAAAGCTTCTTCTTCTTTGAATTCTTTGGCACCGACCTTCCTTTCCAACTGTTCATCACTCTGTTTCATCCCCCCAACCTATCCTTACTGGTACGTTTCACTTCATCATTTCTCAGTCCCTCTTTATTTTATTTTTTTGAGTATTGATCCATATGCATTACTGGGTCTCTGTTTGGTTGCCTGGAAAGTTGTGGGAAAAAATAAACCCAATATTTTTTCTGTTTTTTTTATTTTTTATTTTTAATTTGTTAGTCTGATAGTATGTTGTTTTTTGGGTTTTCTTTTATTTTCAACTAGGGAAAAAGGGTTTGTTTTGGAATCTCTGCTTGTTATTCTTTTGCTTTCCTTTGTTTTCTTGGAAGCCAAACGGTGCATTTGGTGTTTAACCAAAACGATCTTCTGATTCAATGTGTTCATTATTGTAATGGGTATTAATAACTTGAAAGATTGCTTGAATGTGGTGTCTTTTGTTCACAACTATGTAGAATGCTAGAAATTAATGTATAAAATTTTTGGAATTGAAAAGATTTTAGATTTTTTTGTTTCTTTTCACTACTTTGCTATTGCCTACTACTACTAGAGAAGATGTTTTCTGTTTTTGTTTTCTAGTGATGTTTTTTAAGTCACATGTGAATTAGGAAGCCTTTTTGTTGGATTTTTAGGCTTTTGTATCATTCATGGGATAGGACTGTTTACCAAACAGTGTTTGGTACTTGCAAAGACTAGAGAGGGAATGAAAATGTGTGAAGATGGTTAAGCTTACCCTTTTCAAGCATTTCCAACAATTTCTTGATTTTTAATTGCTTTACTTTTAGAAGGATCAAATAGAGTTTTAGTGAAAATGTAAGGTAAGGTATGAGAATTGAGGTCCTATTTGGTGTAGTTTTCAGAAACCAGGTATTCATCATATCTTAACATGTGATATAATTTCATATACTAGTAAAAGTGTGTGAGCTTTGGATTTTTGTTTTTTGTTTTTATTTAATGCATATCTTATTGATCATATTAACTTGTTTATCCATTTCTATGTTCTAGGAGTTATTTATGTAATAGACATAAGTATGCATTTTTTCATTGTTGTTCTTATATTTTTTCAGATTTTCATGGCATGAGAATAAGGAGTATATCTATAGATGCCTATTTATATGTTTAAAAGAATATATCAATGTTGGCATATATGTAGTAACAAGCAATCCTTACTAAGTGGGGAAAATACTATTTAGAAAACCGAAATATTAGACTCTCACTATTGCAAAAGAATGGATTATTTGGGTCATCTACTTGGCTGACCTTCATAATTAAATATTGAAGGAAGCCATGTTTATAATAAGGGATTAATAAGAGAAAATGTTTACAAGAGTGGTGAGGTTACTTCAAATCTTGGTCAACAGTGATACTATTTTTTGGTCCCTATTTAACTTTTTCGTATATGTGTGTTTCTTTGCAAATTCTCTGGCAATATTTTTTATTGTTCTTACAATTTTTTTGACAGTCTAAACTTGGCAATCTAGGATTTTAGTAGTTACTGTATGAGAATTTAGGTCCCAGGTACTTCTTTTACGTTTTGCTAGTGATATGCTATATGGTTGTTCCTTACAAAAATGACATAAAGTAGGGCATTTTTTTTTGGTTAATGATTCCCTATCCTCGGTGATTTGAATGATGCGTTGCAAACCTTTAGCAATATTTTTTATTGTTCTTCCAATCTTTTTGATAGTCTAAATACCAACTTGGCAATCTAGGATTGTAGTATTTTCTATATGAGAATTTAGGTCCTCGGTGATTTGAATGATGCTTTGCTTTTTCCACGTGGTTGGGAGCCCAAACATTCTTTAGTGTGTGTGCTTAACAATGCAAAGTGTGCATTGCAAACATTGTTTGGACATGAGTTTTCACATTTGGGAAAAAGTTGCACTGTTTGTTTGTTTTTTTTTTTTTTTTTTTTTTTTTTTTTTTTTTGTGTGTGTGTGTTGTTAATTTTCAATTTTACCCCACTTGTCCTTGTTATATTTCAACCTTGCCGTCCTCCACTGAACAATAAGTGAAGATTAGAGGACACCAAAATTCAAAATCTAGTAAATTATGTGGAATAAAAATCAACAACCTCTACAACCAACCTTAGGCTTGTTAATGCTTTGATAAAACTTAGAAGCATATTTGTATGTAAGATATCTTATATTCTAATATATATATATTTTTAATAAATTATCTATAAACAACATATTACATTTTATCTAGTTTTTATTTTGATACTTATATCAAATTATCAATTACATAAATGCTACAATATACACTCATGCACATGTAGAGCCATTTTTGTGTATGTGTACCTATTTTACACATCAGCATCGAAGTACATAAAGTGAGTATAAACTCTGATGGACACCGACCCTCTAGGGACACGCTGTACACGTGCCAATTTCTTTAATTATTATTTTTTGTAAGACACTCATGTCCACTATGTAGTCACGCTTCAGGACACCTTTGTGAGTTTGTTTGTTATCACTTAAAAAAGATAATTTGAGTTTTCTTATTATCACTTTAAAAAGATGATTTTTGGTCAAAGTAAAATATATGAATACCAAGAAGGAAGGAAAGTGAAAAAAATAAAAAATAAAAAAAGACACCCACATATATGTTGTTGCATGTTATATCTGTGTCGTAAATTTATATTCATGCACAACAAATAAATATATTTATATATATATAAAATATTTATTTTTCTGTGTTCTTGCCGTGTGGATACTTTTTTTTCTTTTTTTTAATTTCACCGTGTCCCGTGTCCGTACCCATATCCTCATCCATGTCCATGCTTCTTAGACTATATGTCATCCCTCTCCTCAATCAACTGTTGAAAAGGAAGCCACCTCCCAGTCTTGTAAGGTCTCTGGAAGACAAGTCTCAAAGAAAAAATGCATCACTGCCACCATATCACCCCACAACCTAAGATTTTATCCAAAGTAGTGCACTAGTTCTTTGTTTTTGTTTCATATTTGTGAATAATTATGAATTACACTAGGCTGATAGTTTAATCTTAGAATCAAAAGTGTAATGTCATTTTTTAAGTAAATTAAATATGGAAAGGAAAAATGTAATGAAAATTTTGTATATAAATTTGAGGAGCATATAAGACATCTATACAAATAGAGTATTTTGGGCATAAAACTTTAAGGTCATGTTTGATTCACAAGACTAATAGTGAAGTATTAATAATCCTATTAAATTAGTGTGGTATTCATTATCCAATTGGATTAATAATCCCACCCCTACCCCATTACTAATGATCCTATAAATTTGTTGGATTAATTATCCATTGGATTAATAATCTTAAACCAAAATGTTAAAACAAACATAGGATAATTGGGCCCACGGATTAATAATCCCAATCCCATGCTCTAATCCACCCAATCAAACATGCCATAAAGGTGAGAATTTATTGTCCTAACTAACTTTTATGGGATTTATTGGTCCTAGAGACGACAAAGTTGGACTCACCAAAAAAAAAAGGGCCACAACTTACAAAATTAATATCTGTGTATGATGTTGATTTGCTATTGGATGTTCTTTCCATAAATTCTTTGGAATTTGATGAATGTGAACAAAATTGAACTTGATGAGGGTAAGTTATGTTGTGATGGAATAACTAAAGTTTCAAAGATTCTGAAATATAACATGGGATGGATTGGAAGACTAGGCAAGCATATTATGTATTGGTGCCAGAACAAAGTCGTGCTGAACTCAAACATGGAATTTTCGAAGTCTACAAAAACATGTGCATTTGGAAAGTTTTTGATAGGTTATAACATGGTTTGTATTCTGATCAATCTTTGATAACCACGTGCAAGAAAAGAGCAAATTTTGGGGCATGTGGAGTGTCGGACTTCAACACATCCGACATGTGTACGTCACTCACTCTGAAGAACCATACTCATGGAGTTAGGAGGATAATCTTTGAGTTGAACATGAAATTATGTCAGTTTCACTTTTTGTAGATCAGATTTTACATTGAGTACTACTGGTTATATAAATCATGTTATTGCGATTATGTAATTATGTTGGAGATTAGTTTCTGACACGGGCATGTTTGGCAATGCCAGATTGTATGAAGAGATATGTCTTCAGGAAGACTTCCTATGATGGAGCTCAAACCAGCTCATGACGTTGAAAATTCAAATTCCGAACGACGAATTCAGCATGAACTGTGGCCACTCGGTGAAATTGATCCGAAGAAAGCAAAATTTCCTTGTTGTCTAGTTTGGACACCCCTCCCAGTGGTCTCGTGGTTGACGCCTTTCATCGGACATGTTGGCATATGCAGGGAAGATGGAACGGTAATAGATTTCTCCGGATCCAATTTTGTAAGTGTTGATGATTTCGCATTTGGTGGTGTAGCCAGATACCTTCAACTCGACAGAGAGCAGGTACACACCTCCATAGTTGTTCACTATCACCACCACCTTCACCTTTTGAGGAAACAACAATGCTACACTTAACCAAATTTTTATACCATATTATGATTAACATCTTACTTGTTAACACAACATTGGTGTAATAAGTCCCACTGTTCATGTATATCTCTAATACAGTGTTGACAACTAGACTAACACATCAGATGATAAGATAAAATAATAGAAATTAATGGTCATTGTAGCGTTACTCGAAAGGAAAACCCTGCAAGGCAAATGGAAGGTTAAAGTCATTTTTTTTTATTTTATGTTTTATGTAATGACATCTACCTATAAAGCATGGACACTTAGGTCATGTACGGTGTCCGACCCAGACAAACACTAGACACATGTCGGACAAGCTAGAGGAGTGTCTCTTTTTTCTTTTTTATCTTATTTGCAGTGTTTATTCTACCACTAATCGGAACTCTGCTAATCGATCCACTGATAAATTTTGTGGGATTTGAAATGTCAAAAATAGTGCTGCTTTCCTCCAAACCTCGCTGGGCACACATGCAAGCATCACTACAGGCATGCCGAGCAGGGGACTGCAATCACATGGGACGATGCACTCGCGCGAAGCACTGGCCACTTTGAGCACAAATCCTATAACCTCTTCACCTGTAACTGCCACTCGTTTGTCACCAATTGTCTGAACCGGCTTTGTTACCGTGGATCGATGGGTTGGAACTTGATCAATGTGGCTGCTCTCATTCTGTTCAAGGGTCATTGGGTTGATATTACAATTGCTGAGATCGTTCTTGCCTTTCACAGCAGTGCTTTGTTTGGGCATTTTCATGGTTGGGTGGCCATTTCTGATTGGACATCTGTCTTTTTCTCTCCTTTTAATTGGATGGTTTGTATTGGGTACTTACTTTGCCAAAAATCTGTTAGAATGCTAGCTTCTTGTGTTGGGCCATTAATGAAGTAGTTTTTTTTTGGAAATTTGGTTAAAATCTCCTCATAATAAAACTTCAATGTATTAAAGATAAGCACAAAAAAAATTTCTTAAAAAATTCAACATATGTCACTATTATCAAAATATTAAATTTTAAAATAATATAATTTTTGATGTAAATGTCAGTTTTTAATAAAATTAATATTTTTAGAATTTTTTTATCAAGATCAATCAAATAAGATCTATGTTAACTATGAAATTTTTTTAAAAAATAAAATAAAATTTATTACTGTCGAAATTGATGTAAATAGAATAGTAACTTGTTATTTTGATAATATTGTCTAAGAAAAAAAAATATAGGTTCTGTTTGGAACGATTCTACTCCCACATTTGAATATGATGTTTGGATAGAGTTGTGGAATTAATTTTTCACAACTCTACAGAAAATTCTGTTTGAGAGTGCGATTTTCAAAAAAAAAATTTGAAATTTAGCCTAATCGGTCGTCCGGCCGGTTGACTGGAACAGCGTAATTTTTATTTTTTTTTGCAATTAATATGTTAAACTTTATATATTCGAAAAAAATATTTTTTGAAATTTTTAAAATATTTTTTGAAATTTTTAAAAAATTTTATGTGCTTTAATAGAATTTTGAGTTATATGTTTGGTTATGAGTTGTAAGTTTTTGTATCAAATATCAAATATCATATCAAAAATTTCCTACTCAATTCAAAACTATTTTCAAAACTCTTACCAAATAAATTTTTCACATTCAAATCATAATTTTAAAACTCACAAATTCAAAATACAATTCGTATTCTCAAATTATAGTTACAAAGCTCTACCAAACGCAACCATATATTTTACTTGTCTTTACTTAATTATGTGTTTTCGTCTTGAGGGATTTATGAAACAAAATAAATTGAACTGTCTTTTCCACCAAATAAGGATCCAATTGTGGAGGGGTTTTGGCTAAATCATAATTGAAAATTTTCATTGTATAAGTTTTGTTAATAATAGTTTCTATTTAGTTCACTAGAATGTAATGGGATGAAATAGTCATTTCAGCTAACCAAACAGTACCTAAATGGGATCGTTTAGGTTTTTGCAGAAATGGTTGTGTTGGTCTCAATAGGTGGTGAAAGAAACCTTTGCAATTAGATATGCAGCTTATATAGGTAGAATAGCCAATTAGGGAGAAGCATTTATTCAGTGAACCGGTTGTTGAGTCTCGTGAGACCCACTATTCTGAATGATTTGAATTGCGTATTTTGTTCGGTTATGCATCTAAAAAAGGCAAATTGATAGTGATTTTTTTTTTTTTTTGATAGTTGATCAGTGTAGGTGTTGTTTTTGTCTGTTGGCTCAATTTGGATGTCTAATTTTTTAAAAGAAAAGGAAATATGATTCTGGATCCCATAATTTCACTTGTTGGAATCAATTAGAATGAAAAATTGATTCTTGATTATTCTTCAGGCTAGAATTATTTTCTCAAATCAAGTGCAAATCTGATCTCCACACCCCATGATACTCTCACATTTTGTGGAAAAATGTGAACCATTTAAAAGAAAAAAAGAAAAGAAAAGAACAGAAGAGAAAAGATCACCGTGTTTAAAATTTTATCATTTTCCTATGAATAATTTTTAACTAAATCAAACATTGTAATACTATTGACACAATGACTTTATTCATAGTTATAAAATTTTCACTCTTTGATTTATGCCATTCAAATAGAGCCATAATAAGATCTTGTAATTACTTGGATTGGAGACCGAGTAAGATCTTGCTACTGTTTTATGACCATCGTAAACAGAGAAGCAAAGAAGGGCTAAATTTGAACTTGAGAGAAATCTAACCCAAATATACATTGGAAACTAACCAGAAGGCTTGAATTCGTAATTTCATAAATAAAAGTTAATTATTAAATGAAAATGAAGAGATAAAGGCCATTACTCCCACGGTGATCCACTCAACACTAACTAATGAAAGTACATATTCATATGATGAAGAACACAGGTGCAGGGTCGTTATTACAATTGCTTTTACAATACCAAATTACCAATTTCAAGCAAAACATTTCAAACAAGCCCAAAATGATTTTGACCATCTGAGTAGCTCCATCTCAGGTGTCTCCCGTGTCATATTTTTAGTTTTAAGTAACAAGTCAGTGATTCATGCATCAAAATTTTCTTGAAAACTACCTCATGCCCCATATTTCGGGGCCTTCCAGAGCTTAAATGCCACTTCATGTATAAACCTATCTGCCGGTATTGTAACGATCCCACCATGCTGCATGGAAAAGGAAAACACTTATTAATATGAATTATGAAGCCACTTTATGAATGTCACATGTAAGTATACAGCCACTATACAGTTATCATGCCCAGAAACATAAGAATAGTTTGGAATTGTCTTTGACAACTATCTTACGCACAAAGGGTTTGAAAAACTTTCTAACATAGTCTCCTTTTCATGGAATTTTTACTCTATTATGTTATTAAGAACCCATATGTTAGAAATTAGCAATCAAGATCACCTTGATTCAAAATTTTAATTGTCTCAATGGAAATAAAATTATGCATGTAATTTGAGCTGCCTATGAAAAATTGACAAGGATACAAATGAGCCATGTTAGCATGGGGTGTAAAAAATCAATCAATACAAAATGAATAATTATTTTACTACATGGTCTGGCATATTATGCATCTGTACAATTCAAGTATAAGTGTCTGTTGTACAACAAGCATTACTAAAAGCAAAAGAACAAAAAGTTGAGACACATCACACATACTAAGAGTATGGCAACATCAGTGGTGGGAAACCTAAGGTTCACTATAAATAATCGAAGTTTGTAACAAAAATTCATGCCAATTGTTACCTCTTTAAAATCTTTAAAAGAAAATGTCTCAGCCATATCCTTGCGAGTTACAGCATTCTGCCACTGAGCAATTAACATTGGACAATGGTGCCTGTTAAATAACAAATCAGCTCGAGTAATACTGGACGTCAAGTATTGGAAGAAAACTATCTAGTTTCAAATTACCTAACATTCTTCCGTAGATTCATTCCTTTCACGACATAACTTTGACGAGGGAACAACGATGAAAGATTAGAGTGTTTCTCATCTTTACAAATAACAGACAAATTGGGATCATTATTCTCTGACACAAGCCCATAACTCATCACAAGGGACATGTGCAAACGGGCACTGATTTCAGCTGCTCGTTCCTCTATCTGCATGATTTGACCAACCAAACCATTCACATATTCTGTGTCTTTCTGACCATTCTTTTCACCATCTCCAATGTGGATAAAAACTAAATCAAACGGGCTTGTCTCTAAAATCTTCCCTTCTTGAAATCCAAGCAACTTCAGCAACTCAGAGGCCACGACATCAAGTGGTGACTCTGCGATGGGAAGACTCTTGTCAATTATGTCACTCAATTGCAACATAGTGAAACCTAGTTTGCCTCCAAAAGGTTTCAAACTTGAGTTGTTTGTAATTATAGCAGATCTCATTCCCATGAACCTGAAGTTAAATAAAGAAACATGTTGGTTGGCTTGATCTAAATCGATATCAATAAAAAATTATAATCACCAATCATTAAAAAGTTCACAAAGGACCACAGGAAATAGTAACCTCTCTGAAATGCTAGGCATCACTGTATTGTGACAAGCTTCAGCTGCATCCAGCAGCTGAGCAAACTCTCGAACTATTCTTGCATCCTCACTTTCTGCAATCTAAGATCCAAGTAAATCCCGAATGTGCTATATGAGACATGTAAATGCAATGAAAATGATTTTCAACAATGGATTGGAAAGGAGAGTGATCAATTCTTCTCATATACTTTCGAGCAATTACTTTCCAATGCAAAGAACGCAGAACTAATACAAAAGAGAAATTGGCGTATCAACAGAGACGGCTATATATAATTAAATATACAATTCACTACATGAAAAAAAGTTTCTGAAAAAAAAAAAAAAGAAGAAGAAGAAGAAGAAGAGAAAAAGAATGCACTTGAGTAAAAGACCCTGAAGTTTGCATGTGGCTGTATGGAATATAAGAATATAAATAAGTTGGTAATGAAGCAAGCAAAACCAAAATGTAGACATTGAAAGACATTAGTAAAAAATAACAAAAAATATTAAAACAAAAATGATTATATATGCACACATACAGACGCAGATAAAAGACACCCAATAGACAAAACTAAGTAAATGTCATTTGAGATAGAGAAGACCAATGATGATGCAGTTAAAAAGGTGGAAAATTAACATGTGGAAAATATTGCTCAATATTCAAAAAGGGAGAACCATGAACGGAAAATACATCTTTTCTATCTCAATTGGCATAAATCAAAAGCAACACAAAAAGATTCAAAAGGACAAGAAACTAGATTCGACTGCTTCTTGTGTGCATGTATTGACATGGCTGGTATTGAAATTCTATATGCTTAGAAAACTGAAACCAATTGAGAAAATTGAATTTGGACTTGGGCCTTTCTGTCACCACTCTTTACAAGAACTATGGTTGACAAGGCATTCCCTTTTCTTTTCTTTTCTTTTCTTTTCTTTTCTTTTCTTTTTTTTTTTTTGTTTTTTTGTTTTTTGATAGTGGTGTATGGGAAACTGGGGAGCCCACAAACCCACATCAATAACAACAACAACAACACAACACAATCTATTGGAAGTAAGTGAAGAACCAACATGAACAACACCAGGGCACACATGTACAATGCTGTTGTCCACAAACTGCCAAGGCTGGTAGACTTTCTATTCCATTCCATCCCATCCCCCTTTTTTTCTACAACTCTCACCCACAGAGAACAGCATGGCCTTTCTCAATTGCCTCAGCCTCACTATTATTATTACAAGCTTTGAATTGAAACATACCCACGATGCCACTGTTGACCTGAATTCTATATACACACTTCAAAAGATTTAAATCAAATAAAAGATGAAATCTTGAAATGCAGCGTCTAGCATAGACCCAATTGGTGCAAATAAATAAAGTAAGTACATATATATGTTATACCCAATAAATCTATCAAAGATTTGAACCAAATATTGAAGCCCAAAATGCAGGATCATGAAATTGAAGAGAAAGAGAGAAAGAAAGGGATCGGATGAAACCTGAAGGAGGGGAGTTGGGGAGGGTCAAGAAACCACAAGAAGCACGAGAAGCGAGAGAGTGGAGATGGGTGTGTGATTCGTTGATGAAACGGGCCAACCCATCTCCGTACACCACCAATCCTCTGCTCGGCTTGTCCGCCATTGCCACAGAGAGAGAGAGAGAGAGAAAGAGAGAGAGTCAGATCATTGTAATCCAGGGTAGCGTAGTGCCTCTCTTTGATGGGCAGAATAGCCCTATTCTTGATTTTTTTATTAAAAAAATTATATCATTGGAATAAAAAATGAAGAAAATAATTATAAGAAATTATTCTTTCCCGATTTTATATTTGACTATTTTCTTATTTTGTCTCATATATGTGTATATATATATATATTTATTTTGACTTTATGTTTAGTTACTTTCTAATGTTATTTTGTGTGTCATATTTAATTTTTCTAAATAAATTATACAATAGGTTATATTGCATAATAAACATTGAGCTCTCTTACTTTTAGCGAGAAACCAATTACAATAACTGCATCTAGTAGTATCAAATCCTAATCCTATCTGAAAATTATGTTGGCATTCAGTATCTGCATTACATTCCATCATAAAGAAATTGTCATGGAAAGGGTTATTTCTATTTCTTGGTTAAGTTATCCTAAAAGATTGTCTATATCTGTAACACTTTCTGAATCACTGTCTGAACTTATGGCTTTTATTTGCTTTCCATAATCACTGACTATGCTGTAGACTATCATGACTGTTTATGCTAACTATATTTTCTTCTAAATCTTCTATAATATGTAGTCTTTCTATCTGTTTATTAGTATTAGGCCTTTATCTTTTTGGGCAAATTTTTATAAAATGATTGGGTTCTCTACATATAAAATAATTGCATTTTTTACTACTAGGTTTTCTAACATATATTTGTTTTCTTTTATCTTTCTCTTCTTTAGGTAGCCGCTTATAATTTATCCTATTAAAAGTTCTAACATATTTTTTATATTTTTTCCTATTATATTTATCTTCATATTACTAAGGAGTATGTATTAGGCTGCTACAGAAACCATAGTTTTGTTTTTTCAAATCTTTTTGTATTTTAACTTCTATACATTTTTCTCTAAGTCTGCGGAATGTAAAAACTATTCTAAGTCCTATTCTTGAAACTTCTCTTATGTTTACTTCTCTTGATGCTATTCTTGCTAATAAATTTGCATAATAAATTGACAATTTATTTTCTATCTCTCTTCCTAATTCTCCGAGTAATTTCCTAAAATATTTATTTCATATTTGTTCATCAAACCTTTTTCCAGTTCTGGCTGCTATGGCTAAATATTCTTTCCTAAAGGGTGCAACATATCGTCAACTTCCTAATGTTATTTGCTCTAACTCGGTTAATGCTATGCTTTGAGTATAAGCATTTCTTCTAGAAGGGGCATATCCTATAAGCATTTCTTTTATAAAATTAGTAAAATTACATGGATTATCTCTTAGTCCTTTAAGTTGTCTAATTGTCTCTTCATATTTTCCTTTAAAAGTTAAATATATATTAAAAACTGAATCTCCTAAAAGTGTTTCCATATATTCTCACATATCAGGTGATTCAAAGGGATTATTTATCCATGCCTTTACCGCATCTTTTTCCCATTTGTCTATCACTTCTTGCCATATCTGTGGGTCGAATTTAGGTAAGTCTAAAAGAGTTCATTGGTTGGTTGCTGGCTGTAATTTTATACTCATGTCTGGTTGTCTACGCTTTCCATGAAACCTATACCTTTTATTCAGATCTGCTTTACTACATCTTGTATTGGTTAATGGTCTTCTTCCTCCCACTTTATAATGCATTGGTTTTACTGGATCTTCTACTGTATGCTGTGGGTTACTAGTTCCTGTGCTTTCTGCTATTTGAGTGTTCATATAAAAAGTGTCTTCTAAGTTAGACTATTCAGGTATTTTAAATATTTTACTACGATATATTTTGTCTTCTAAAATATCATCTACATATTCGGTATGCAATTCTTGATCTAAAAATGATACTACTTCATCATGGGTATCTCCTCTAACTATATATTCATAGTATCTGTTATCTAATATTTTATTCATATCACTTAGGGTGAAATTTTCTAAATATATTTTATCAATATTATATATCTTATTTTATGATATTGTTTTTTCTTCTGTCATTACGTAAAGCTAATTTTTGTCACTATGATTATCTTGATTTCCTTTTCTATCTACATTACTAAATTCATCATCTTCGAATTTTTCTGGTGTTACATATGTGTATTAAGTAAATCTTACTACATATCTTCCATCTGCTTTTTGATATAATAAGTTATCTTGAGGGGCTAACTTCTTTTGTCCTAGAAAATCTCCTAATTTCCAATCTAGTGCTGCATTATTTTCAGAATTATATTTTTTGGCTGGTAGTGTCTTTATTCATTTTGCTTCTAGTATCTTAACTATTTGATCATTTGTAAGTCTATAATGGGTATTACTTTCTGAGACTGCTAAGCCTAGAAATCCTGTGCAAACTAATAAATTCTTTTCTCCCTTTTTGATTTTATATCCTCTACTTTTTATTCCTATTTTTATCTTCTTATAAAAGGTCGAAGTTGGTAAAAGGAAATTTGGTGTAAAATAAACTATTGCTCCCTTTAAATTCATATCTAATTCATAGTTGCCTAAAATACTTTGTTCTCCATCATTAAATCTATCATCATAAAGACATACAAAAACTTTAACTCATAAATTTTTTTCTGGTTAAGGCTTTAACTCCTATCACAACTAATCCTAAATGAGTCATTTTAAGGTGTTCATTTACAGCATATTTATAACTTTCTCTATTTATTAAATTTAGCTCTATTTTTTCATCTTCCTGAGTTACACTAATCATTTGTTCACCATATTGTTTAAATAAATATTATTTTTTATGAATTTTTCCTAGCTAAATATATATTTAGCTGGAATTAATTCTAGGTTTTCCTTTTTAAATTTCTCTATTTGTTGTTCTACATCTATAAATTCTTCTACTTTAACATCTCCATCCTCACGAAGCTAAACGATTTTCTAAACTGTGTAGTTGATAATTCTTCAATTTTTTCACACAATCGGATAAGAAATAAAATTTCTATATTATTTTGTTTTAATGATTTTTTATCTGACTGATTTATTCCTTGATAGCTACTGATTCCCTCTAGGTTATTATGAAAATCTTCTTCTTGTTTGAAAATAATCTGGTAGTCTCTATTAGCTTTTTTATCACTACTCATAAATTAAGATCTTATTAGCTGCTCTAAAATTTCTAATTTCTGTTTTAAATTATCTTGAATTTGGTTGATTTGTTCTATTTGTCTAGCTATTTGATTTATCTGATTATGAATTTTTTTAATTAATTGCTTAAATTCTACCTCTATTTGCTTTGAATTATTAATATTTATGGCTGAAATTAGAGTTTCTATTTCTAGCTTGGTTGGAAATTTTTCTAAATTTAAATCTATTTGTTTTTGTAAGATTGAACTACACTGATCTTTGATATAATCTAATTTTTTGTCTTGATCTTTAATTATACTGCGAGTATTACGAAGATGGTCAATGGATAAAGTAAAAAGATTACTAATTTTATCTATGTCCTTTTTAATATTTTTAACAAAATTAATCTGATGATCTATAATACTATTTAGCTGAGAATTATGTTCGTTATGGAGCTGATGTGTAAAAGTACCTTAAAATTACAACGAAATTTATTTTTATCTATATTAAGACGATGGTTATGATTGCTGAGTTCTAAATCTAAATATTCTACTCTTTTCATACACAAAATTAAATCCTACTTTAAAATTATTAAAAGTTACTATAATATGAAATTTATAACTAAATTGTCCAAAAATAAAAACTACTCTATTCCGTAAGCAAAATGCATAAACTAACTTAAACTATCCTAAAACCGAACACTGCTCTGATACCAATTTTTGGGAGGGTGAGTTAGTGGTTTACCACTATTTTGAAGTTGGGCTATAGAATTATCTAATTAATTCTACAGTTATGCTAATAAATCTTCAAGCTGTTGTATGGCTAGCTGTAAGGATTTTTGTTTTATAGTTATTTGTCTATTTATTTGTGTAATTTTCAAATTATAATATACTAAAAATCTACCGGAAGCTAATGATAACAAAAATTGATATCTTAGTTTTTAATCTTCTAATTCTTGTATAAGTTCAGTACTATATCTGATTTTAATTCTAAGTTCCTCTTCTAAAAGAATAAAATTTTGATTTTTAAAATTCTTATATGAAAAATATTTCCTTGATATTTCTACTAAGGTTGTTCTCCTTATATTGTAAATTTTTTTTCTTATTTGGTAAAACTATTTTTAAGCAATATTTGCTTTCATTACATGTACTCCTACCTTGAAGCTAAGCCTCGTTTAACATAGTATAGTTTTACTTTCTATTTCTTAATTATATTGAAAATATTTCTTTGGTATTTCTACTTAGATTACTCTCCGTTTATTCTAAAATTCTTTTCCTTACTTTGAAATTTTTTTTTTAAGTAATATTTGCTTTCATTTTGAGACTAAATCTCGTTTGACTTAGTATATTTTTATTTTCGTATTTCTTACCTTTTCTTTTCTGCCTACAATTTTTCTCTAATGCTTGATTACAGCTCACACGGGTTCTTCAGAGAAGATCACTCAGTAATGGAATAAAAAAAAAAATAGATACTATGAAAGTTCACAACACGTAATATTAATAAGCAAGCAAGCAAGCATGCATTTCGTAAACTTAGTTTTTCAAAAAATAAATAAATTATGGAACATAGGAGTTACCTTTTCCAAATATCCAAGGAAGAAGAGAAATTACTCACATTTGATATTAATATAACCAAATACTTACAAAGATTATGTTACAGACTCTGGGACATTTGGAAACTTGGAAGACAAAAGTTGAGACACTTGAGAGTTGGACAAAGACAAGGATTTGAGTGATTTTTTCTTGTGTTTTTAACTGAAGAGTGTTTTCTATTTATAGTGGTGAATACTCCTAAAGACCAACTACCGAAAGAATCAGTCAAGGATTAAGATAATGATGTCGGGTATTACTTTGGGCCTCGTCGCACATCATTCAATCCTCCCTCTCTTGGTTCTTTGTTTACAAAATATTACAAAAGAAAAGAAAAGAAAAACACGTTTGAAGATTCTCACAACTTTTTCTTTAATGGAGAGTAGGGGTCGTCTGCTCTATTAAAA